AATTTATTAACTTTCCATCTACAACGGCGAGTTAAATTATGTTAAATTATCTACTCTTCTCTAACTCCGAAAAGTTGTAGATAACGGGGACGGAAGCTCAAATTCGATTTGCTAGCTAGTATTTTTTTTTTTTATTACTTTTTTATATTGTAAGTAAAAAGTTTTTAAGATATATTAATGGTATTCAACGAAGAATGTTGGTTGCATATCTATTATGATTGCAATCGTAGATGAAAATAAAGTGTATAGGTACTACCTATTTATATTTATTTAATACCAATAGCACTAATTAATATTTATGGATAATTTTAACTGTAAAATAGCCCATATAGCCCATATCTAAAATAGCCGTTGGACGGTAGAAGCATTATAATGAATGTCCAAATTTGATATTCCGATTTAAATTGACCGCCATTTTTGCGAATTAACCGACTTCAAAAAAGAGGAGGTTCTCAATTCGTCGTAATATTTTTTTATGTATGTTCAGCAATACTTCTTTAACACGGTGTCCAATTTTAATGATTCTTTTTTGTTAATAAGGGAGTAGCTCAGGGGTGGTCCCATCCAAATTTGGTCAAAGTCTAATAATTGGGTCAATGAGAAAATCCTCAAACTCTTAATTTTTTTTGTATGTTTAGCGATAATTCTTTACCACCTTCTCCGATTTCTATGATTATTTTTTGGTAGAAAGGGGATACCTCAGATGTAGTTCCAGGATCTGATGAACTATGAGAAAATCAAGTCTCACTTTTTAAGGGTATTTGCATGATTTTGAAGTCGGTTTTTTAATTAGAAAATTATTTATCTTCATTGACAGTTCTATGAAGTACGTTTAAAAACCTCGCACGGCTCGTCTGACCCCATATATTAGAACAGGATCCAGACGCGCCGTGCGAGGTTTCTAAACGAACTCCTGGTGACATATGTCAAGTTAAAACTTTGCAAATACCAGGGCCGGTATATCTAAGGGGGTCGCGACATAGGAGTCCATTTTGGACGCCTTTTTTTTCGAAATAGTAGTCGCCCATTGATCTGGCAACCTGTAGTCGCCAGGCTTGCCAATATAAGAAAAAAAAATCAATGTCTTTTTTTAAATGACATTTTCATTATAAAATGCCCATATTTTTTATGATAAAATATTTTAATTTAATAAATTATTAATAATCTCACATGTACATAGAATACGTCGTGAAAAGTAGATCACTTTCAATTTTGTGCTGTTTTGGTTTGGTCTATTTTAAAAGGTAATTGAAGAGATGAAGACAATTTTCTTATAGGTGAGGATGCATAACAAATTATTGCTCCCTTTTTTAGAGCTCCAGTCCCCTAAGTCTATTTATTTTAGGTCTTTTTAAATTGTTGGTAGGTATTATTCACTTCATGTGTATGTTTTTATTTAATTTAAATAATTTTGTGTAACATCTTACGATTTGTTTTCTATACATTTTAGCATGGCTTTGAAATACCTTTAAAACAGAGGTACTTTCCTAAAACTGGCCGAAATTTTAAACTGAATACAGTTCTTAGAGAAAATCTCCAGTAAAAAATATCTGCATGCAGAATAACAGTAGCATAGATTAGCAAAGCTGACAAAAGAGTTGGACAAACCTTTGGCTAGCTTTTTTAATATTTAAGGACAATAGTGTTAACAGCGAACCACAACAAGAACAACCAAAGTTTAGTAATCAAGCAAAATATTTCAGTATCTTCAGAATTATAAACGTATGAAAACTATAATAGGAAACATGTATGGCTTCGAAAAGGAAATTACCTAAATTAGCATATCTAGTGAATATTGTAATTAAAGAATATATTTTTAATCAAAACTTGTGTTTCTACTCCAATACTAACCATATAGAAATGCATATGCATTTTATAGTATTAAGCAAGATTCGGATCAAATGTACCCACAATTTATAAACATTATTAAACTAAAATAAAACATTTAAAATTACACGTGTTTTTTATTTAAATAAAACATGTTAAATATGTGAATGTTCTGTGAATGTCTATTACTCAGACAATTCCAAAATAAAGCTGAACTAAAACAAATTGAACATAAGTATAATACTCGATTAAAAATAAATCAAACGTACCTACCTAAGGTGAAAAAATCAAATACTCAACGCAGTTTCTGGTATATCGGCCCAAAAATCTATAACAGATTACCTGGTGAAATAAAAAACGTGAACTCGAAATACTTGTTCAAAAAATTAGTTAGAAATTGGATTTATTCACAGTCAAGGAATGATATACACCAAATGATTGAAAACTATTACTTATATCCCTAGCTTCCTGCTTAACCTGTAACATAAACAAAAATATTTCTATTTCTTTTTAGGAATAAGTATATTATGTATATATATATATATATATATATATATATATATATATATATATTTTTTTTTTGTTAATGTGCTATTGTTTGTATCTACAACTTCCAGTTCAACCCGTAACATTTTTTTTTCCTTTTTAGTATATAAGAAATAAATGTATTTTATTATTTAATAATGCATGCAATCAAAATAAACAACTAATCAGCCAGCCAAAAATAGAGTCTTACCTTTCACGTACAGGGCTTTCCTTGTGGAGTGTAAGATATCTAAGGAGGCGTTAATATTCTATAAAAAAAATATCCATGCCACATACAAGTTCGCTTATGTGGTCGTCACATGTTTATTGACACACTGTATTTTGAAACTGTTTTTTTTTATTGTAAATTTATTGATGTAAATAAACATTATATTATTATTATTATATGTTTTTATTAAATACATAAGTTAGTCTCAACCACACATTTTTTTTGTTTTTACTTCTAGTGTAAAAGTGACTGCTAATTCACAGTCTTTTAAGTTTATTATTTAAAGAGACCAGCTATACTACAAAATATCCTATTAATGATAACTAATTTCTCTTTAATAATGGTTTTTGCATTTATCAACATTTTACAGCACTTTGTTTATATGAAACATCTATTTAGCTCTTAATTAAATCACATTTAAATCAAGTAATTACATTTTCATATTCAACTTATGTATTCTTATTATAACTTAGTCACTTTTTTTAATTTGAATTTTTTGACTGTGGTAACTGAGTCCATTCACCAAAACACCTATTTAGTCACTTAAAAATGTTGAAAGAGAATGTCATAAAGGTAAAATTCCTTCTTTTGTGATGTTTTCCATGCAATTTTAGGTTGTAAACGTTTTGTCCAACACCTTTTTTAGAATTTATCCCAAGCAACACTATGAAAGATTTAAATCCTGGATTTACAGCATTCAGTTTTGAGATGAGTGCAGTCACAATGCAGTTTCAGAGATAATTTTCACATAAACACTTATTTACCACAGCACAAACGTATGTACCTATTCATGTAACATTAAAATAAAGTGGAAACAAATTGCATAATTTGGTATATAAAAAAGTACAAAATGTTTTTAGTTCTAGTTCGACATTCGACTACGAGGAAAACAGTGGTTCATTCCACTTGTACCATATTGACATTATTATGCACGATGCAAGTTAAAAGTAGATCTGTCTCTGTTTTTATAATACTATTACGGCAGGACAAACGATAACCGTGGATTTCGCCAAACGAACATCAGAAAAGTGTTGCCAACTTAAGCTGACTACTATTTCCCCCCTAGCCTCAGTCACCCCCTCATCAATTTACTGGGTCTATGTCGCGACCCCCTTAGATATACCAGCCCTGGCGGATACTTATTTCTTAGTCAACATGGAACAATTGTCTATCGTTTTTATTGTGAAATCATTACCAAAATGGGGAATGTTTTGCTGAAACTGCAAGAAGATGCCGTACGCATTTCGGAAGAAATTTAGCACCATCTGTTAAAGTTATTGAGACTTTTATGAAGAGATTTCAACATACTGGGTCAGTAGAAGTTAACAGGCGTCGTGTTTACGATCGTGTTGCCCGATCAGAGGAGAACATTGCTGCGATAAGGGCTAGTGTTGGTGAAATCCCGAAAATATTAGTTCGAAGACGTTCACAGCAAGTCAACATTAAAAGATCGAGTTTGCATAAAATTTTAAAAAAAGATCTTACTTTAAAAGCTTATAAGATACAGTTGAATCAAGAATTAAAACCAAACGATCATGTGTCACGTCGTATATTTGTTAATTGGGCTTTAGAAAGAAGGTAAGAAAATAACAATTTTTTCAAAAGAATTATCTTTAGCGACGAGGCCCATTTTGAAATCGGTGGATACGTAAACAAGCAGAATTTCAGAATATGGGTGAGGAAAATCCAAGAGAAATATTGGAAAAACCACTGTATCCAAATTTACTAAAAATATTCATTTTGTAGATACGACCTCTTATCTTAGCAGGACAAACTTTTATGTTCCATTCAGGTTTTGTGGTTATAAAATTATTTTTTTAAATTATAGGTGGGACATCTCAGAGGACACAATTTGGTACATTAACTAAAAACAATTTTGAAAAATGTTTTTCGGTGGATAGGTACATGTGAGAACCCTATTAAAAAGCAAGAACAGCATGTTCTTATCTCAAGAGTATTAATTTCTTCAATGATATTAACATTTCATTGAACAGTTCTTATTATTATTGTAACAAATTTAGTTGTATTGGATTTAAGAACAAGGTATTATTGAATATAATTTATATTTAACTTGAACCAACCGTTTCTTGATTGAATATAAAGTATATTTAAAAGATTTCATTTAAGATGTACATAATACTGCAATTGAGCAATATATACTCTTCATTTAATTAGAGATATTTTAGTTAAGGCAAATTGATTTTAATCTTGAAGCAAAGCTTAGTAGCTATTGTTGAACAAGTATTACTAGAATTTCAAATCCATACGAGTTTTACTTGCGGATATAAAAACAATAAAGCATTGAAGTAAGACCATTCATCTTAAATATAGTACACCTTTTTTTCTGTGTACCAACAGGAATAAAAATATTTCTACATCATTCCTGTTTCATGACTCACCTTTTATTATTTTTTATTACCTTCAAAATGTTTAATATGCCACTCGACAGGATGAAGTGCCCAAGCAGCAAATATATTTGAGAAACTGATAACAACCAAAACTCCTTTGGTATAGAAGAATCCAAGATTTTTCATGGAATAAGCTATCAATAATGGATATATCATGGTAAAAACTGTAATCATTAGTTGAGCCACTCCCGCTATAAGATTCAACTTCTTGTGAAAATATTCGTTAAGACTTGAGAAAGCTGCAGTTACCATCAAACCAGATCCTAAACCTAAAAAAAAATAGATTCTACAGAAACCTAGTTGTTACGAAGAATATTTTGATTAATTTTAATTTCTTCAACCTTCAACTCATATTCAAGGGTTCTACCACAAGAGGTGAGAATTTTTTGAGAACTTTGTTGTTTACCTCGCATGGTGTTTGGAAAGATTATTTAACAATATAAAAATAACTTTCATAAACAACATTTGCTAACTAAAAGGGTATTTACAATTAATATTTTAAATTAATAATTAAAGAGACAGGAAATAGGTATCATAAAAAATTAAAGAAATTAATATTTCTAACATCTGAGGATATAGGTATTAAGAAATACATTCTTAAACCATCTAATGTGAAACAAACCAAACAAAATTGTAAAAAATCCGCGCACCTTAGCAAGATTGGAACCAGCGGTCTCTGCCTTGCGGGCTCGAGTATTATGGCGCTTACGCCTTGTGTTCGAGAAAGGAAATATTTAAATTTAGCTATTACAACAGTATCGTCGGAGGATCGCCACGACTGCATGCAGTGGCACTAGAATGTTACAAGTGTTCCTCAATAAGAATATATGAATCCACATAAAAATAAGTGATAGTTTGCCTTATAAACTATGATCCAAAAATATTCTATAACGAAAATACCAGGTGTTACAAGTTTTAAGAAAAAAAAAATTAAATTTGTTAATATTTTCGAAACAGCTTAAGATATTTCAGTGATATTTTGTATGCAGTGCGATTAATGAAGGGTATTATTTTTTAATACAAAAATATTTTTCAGCTTTAACAGTGGCGTGGGTACGGGCTCTGAATTCAATATTAAAAAAAATAGAAGGCCAATAGATTTTCCCAACATAAATTATTTTTTAATTTCCTGTCGAAATTGGAACAAGAGCTGTCTTGACTTTTTTCCTGCTATATGCCGTTTTTGAATAAAAAATCAGTAATGTAAAAACAGGGAACTCCTGAGCACTTACATTTTAATAATTTAAAATAAAACCACTATACCAAAACCTTTTTTCACCTTCTTCTCTCTATCGATATTCCTCTTGATTTCACCCGAACTCTCACTTCGTGTCCGCCCGGCGTTCTTCGTCACTTTCACCGTTATTCAACGATAATGATTGGTTGCTTTTAAAATGGTCCAGCTACACAAACCAAAGGGACACTTTTTATTACTTTCATCCAAGGGGGACCTTTTTGATTAAATACGATTCCTTTCCTAGAATACTCAGATACCTACCAATTTTAGTCGAAATCTGCAGACTTTCAAAAATAGAAATATTTTTTAAACTGCTCGCCCTGTATATAACTGACCGAAAGTATAACTGGTTTTGAGCCTGAAAGAAGCCTTTCTTCCATACAAAATTTGGTTTTTTTATAAAGCCCTTTTTCAGCTATCTCGCTGTGACGAAGTCCCGCCTGAGGACATGCAGAAGATCCCCCGTATTTCTGTTTCACAGAAATTGCCGTTTTTCAACAATTGCGAGTACCCTCGTAGGTTAAAATATTCCTATATTTGCCGAAATCCGAATGGGCATTTTGTAGAGTTGATTTCGTACCGATTATCTACTTTTATTTGTCAAGGTACTAGAAGGACATTTTTTTTATTTTTAAATTGTAAACAGTCAGCTGTAGTGGTGGTATCCCCCACTCGGGCTTACCGGTCTTTCATCTTGCCCAGCGAAAAAGCATAAATTCGATGACATCTGGGAATTACCCTCTCTTGAATTCCGGCAGCCGTAAACTCTTCTCTCTCCTGCAGTGTCGAGTGAAATACTCCGTGAGTGACCGTAATATCGAAAGAATATTGAACAACCCCGTTTATTTTTCTAAAGGTAGGAAACCGCTTATTATATTTTTTTATTTACAATTAGTTTTGGACACCCGTCCGACAAGTGAAATAATTTTGATTCATGCCCAGCATTTTTTTCATTTCATCCCTTAGTGGGAAACCGTTGCCAATGTTTTTTTATAAGAAGCACCCTCTTTTCTTTTATTTATTCATTCAATTGTAGTTGAATCGTTCCGTTCCCCGTCCACAACTAATTATTGAACGAAGCCCAACTTTTTCTGTAAAACTAATTCACACACCGTCTTGATCGCCTTTTGGCAAATCTCTAAATAATTTTTACGTTAACCATCGCATTTTTGTTCCAAACACCGCGCTGAAAATTATCATTCTCGTTCAATAATTGCCAGAGCGTCGATAGGTCTGGTCTAAGATACAGGGACGTTCCGAAAACTTTGATTTCATTTATTTGCTTGTATTTAATTACCGTCATATTTAAATTGTTTTCAAGTGTATTAATTTATTTTTAATAAATTTTCATAATTCCCGGACCGCTTGGCCTCCTGCACTAGCGTACCGTAATTATTCCTCAATATTTAAAAGTTTTCAATTGTAATAATTTATTTTTCATAAATTTTCCGGATATAGGGATCCGTCAATATTTAAATAGTTTTCAGTTCTAATAATTTATTTTTAATAAATTTTCCGAATATAGGGAGCCGTTAATATTTAATTAGTTTTCAAGTGTAATGATTTATTTTTAATAGATTTTCCGAATAAAGGGAGCCGTTCATATTTAATTACTGTTGTATTTTTTTTGTAAATATATATTTTATTACCTATTCCTGTGTTTCTCTTACTGCTGGTTCTTAACCGTTCTCTTTCAGGGTACCGTAGGGTACGAGGTGTAAAGGAGATAAGTGTTTTTATTTTTATTTATTCTAGTATAGTGGCTACCTAGCAGTGACCACCTGGAATTATTTTTACCTCCACTGAGTTCACCTTGAGTACATTTTGGTGTACCACAGGGTCGCAGAGCAAACTGCGATACCAAAACTGGCGCCTGAGCAACCCCTATTCGGGAATCACCTTCATAGCGCCACACAGACTCGCTGATTCACTGTAGGTGAACCAGAAGCCTGTCACATCGCCAACAGACAGATGACTACAATAACGACAGACGACGACAGACTATAGACGACGATAGACGACGACAGACTGTAGACGACGATAGACGACAGACTATAGACGACGATAGACGATGACAGACGACGATAGACGACGATAGATGACGACAGACGACGACAGACGACGACAGACGAGGACGGACGTCGACAGAGAGACCGACGTAATGGTGAAACATGTTTTTCGTAATCTAGAAATCTTGAAACGTGATCTGAAATAATCTCGGAGGGTGACTTTTTACGATTACAATACTTCCCTATTATCAAGAGAAGTAAAAAAAAATCATTATGAATTTAATTGGAACAGTTTAGCATGTTACGGGTTTATATCTGCATGCAATGAACAATAACAACTGACAACATAAACTGTCATTGCAACTGCAATTAAATTTCACTCTAGCGGTTTCAAAAATATTATTTTTCTACGATGACTATCCAAAGTAGGTTTTCCGTGAACTGACATTAAGTTGACAGCTTTGTCGCTCGCCGAGCGGAAAACTTGATATTTTTGTTGCTTGCCTAATTTAAATTTTTAATAAATCATTTCAAAGTTATTTATACGTAGTTTGATATTTTTTGTTTTATTATCGAAATTAACATTTGAATATCAACTTAGATAATAATAATAATAATAATTTTAATAATAATTTTTATTTACTAAAATACATTATTTAAATACATTAATAAGATGAACACATTTTCTTTTTATTACACATATAAATATACAGTAGTTATTCAATGTTTACTTTAAGATAGCAAATAAAGATGAAAACACCCACAAAAGGAAGGCCTGAGCGTGGGCAATATTTTCATTTCCATTATTATCTATAAGTTTGAATTATACAGGGTGTTAAAAAAAAGTGTCACAAAATAAAACGGGGGATAGTATGGGCCAAAATATGCAGAAAAGGAAATTCCTCTAAATCCAATATTTTCCAGTAGTTTGTTGTGGTCAACTGTATCAAATGCTTTTGCGAGATCTACAAAGATGCATAGTGAAGGTTTTTTTGATCTACTGAGGTATTTATTAAATTTGTCAATCTCGCAATCGCATCTGACGTTGAGGTTTTTTCGCGAAAGCCATATTGTCTGTTCTGCTCTGGAAAGAACCAGGTGCAGATCTTTGGATTTACCCGACTGGGGCCTACCGACTTTAAACTAGTCTCACCCAATTCAACCATGGCCTTCATCAAAAGGTGTGGCTTGTACGGTGAACTATAAGTTAGTCATAAGCCACAATAGACCCATCTAGGTCGCAAAGGAAGGCGATGAGATCATCCCGCTCATTTTCAACCTAACCTACGATAAATTTTTAGTTTTTAAATCTATTTCTAAAAATAATATGACCATAGAAAAAGCTTGTGTGCATTTTGAGCGAAAGTATCACTTTTTGCTCTGAATACACAAATAGCTGTTTTTTTTTATAATACTATAACACCCCGTATTTTCGTAACCGAACATTTTTGGACTATAGTTTAAAATTGATAAATAACTGCAAGAGGGTAGATGAATTTATTGTAGATACGTCTACAATTTGTTCTGCACATATTATGCAAATCTATTATAATCTAAATAATTTGATACACAGTGTGTGGCTAAGATTTATTTATAGGAGAGAGTATTCCAAATAGTTTTAAACAAATGATGAACTTTTCATCATTTTACAAAATAAAAAATATATTCTTGATAAAAAGATTTGTATCTCTTGGAAATCCGTTTGTTTTATAACATCTTATACAAGTGATAATAAATTTGGAAAGGACGTCTAATTACTGTACGTTAAACTTTTCCACAGATAATGTCGTGATCAACAAGGAGCTGCCATTCTTTAAACGTTTAATCTGCTGACAGGTTATTCTCTTCTGTTGGGCAGGCCAGAGAAGTTCATCATTACTTGTTTATTTGAAATGGAAGACATTGTTGTGTTGTAAAGGAGCGAATATCAGTCACAATACATGAGGCTTCTTTCTAAAGAAAAAACATGTGTTTCTTGAATTATATTTAATGTAAAATTGGTTTATTAAATAAAAAATTGTATTTGAACAATGGCCCGGCAAGTTAGAAATCACAGAATTTTCTTTCAACTTTTCTTTGCTTTGTTTTCACATTAGGTTGTTATTCCTTTTTTTACCTATTATTTCATTAGTTTTCGGATCTTTAATAAACATAAAATAACTTCCCCTTTTTCAAATTAAGACATTTTTTTCGTTTATCTACTTACCTCCCATAATTGAATAGCTAATTATAAATAAAAATAAATTTTTAGCAAAAAGTACTAAAACCATTGACAGACACTGAATGCATGCTCCTGTGAATCCAACCTGGCGATACGTGTACTTTTTTAGTAAAAAACTGGACAGGAATCCTGAAAAACATCCTTTTTAATAAGAAAATAAAAATAAATTTAAATACAATCACAATAGTTTTTTTTACAACAACATAGATATTAGCTAGACTGCGCACAGTGCGCACAGACTACAAAACGGAAAAATGGTCATTGCGTTCAATTCAACGAATATATTTCATATCCTTTCTACCTAATAAGAACACTGCACGGATATGAAATCCACCAATCCCAGTGTATACCTTGGACACCTGGCTACTATTATGTTTTAAAATTTTAAATAAGTGAAAATTCTGTCAAACTAATTTTTAGTATATTTTTTAGTTATTCAGAATAAATACAAATAAAAATGAGTTATTTTTGTGAAGAATCGATAAATAATAGCATTTTACAAGATATTCGTCTATATTTACAAATAAATAATAAATTATAAGAAAACTATAATCAAAAAAACAATTTTTTTTAAGCACCCTATATTTTATTATTAGTCCTGTAAAAGTATGAATATTTTTTCAATGGCGTATTATCCGTCCTGTAGCAGATATTTTCCAAAATAACAGCTCTTTTCTATGATTGGTTTTTGAGATACAGGGTATTAAACTTAAGAAATACCACTTATTTGATAACGGTTACTTCTTGAGAAAGCTACTCGATTATAATTTTTTGTACCAAATCTTATTGTAACATCTTTTCTCATTCTACAGATATAAAAAGAGGTAACAAATTATTTTCCTTTACAGGGTGAGCTACAAATAAGTAAGGACGTGTTTTTGATAATTACTTTTTTTTGTTCTAAATGGTAAAAATATTTCCTAAAAAATACATTATTGCTTTATCATGTCTGATGATAATACAAAAGATATTAAGTGCCATTTATACAGGGTGATTCGTAAATATCGACATGGGCCAGTATATTTTTTTATTGACTTTTGTGTATTTATTATATGTATAATTATCCAATTCATTGACTACAGGGTGATTTAATAAATATATTGATAGTTAATTTAACGAATGTGTCAAAAAAACAATTTTTTAAGCACCTTATACTTTTTGATTAGTCCTTTAAAACTAGACATATTGTTTTCACTGGCGTATCAATTATTCTATAAAAGATATCTTTCAAAATAATAGCTTTTTTTGATATGTTTTTGAGATACAGGGTGTTAAACTTAAAAAATAGCACATATTTGTTAACGGTTATTTCAGGAGAAGGCCAATTAATAATTTTTTGTGTCAAATATTGTAACATCTCTTGGCATTCTACGAATATAAAAAGCTGTCAAAAATTATTTTCTTTTACAGGGTGATCCACAAATAAATAAGGACGTGTTTTTGATAATTACTTTTATTATTCTAGAAGGTAAAAATATTTACTAAAAAATAAATTATTGCTATATTTATCGTGTCTAATGGTAATTAATACAAAAATATAAGGTGCCATTTCTGCAGAGTGATTCGTAAATATTGATATAGGCCAATATATTTTTTTATAAATATTAATGTGAAACGCAGTATTTTTACGGGACATTTGTCTATTTACCAATTTACCATATGTATAATTATCCAATTTATTGACTAAAGGTTGATTGGATAAATATATTGATAGTTACTCTCACAATATAAAACTGCACTTAAAACTTAGATAACTATATTAATTAAGTCACCCTGTATAAAATATAATCTAATTTCATTACCGCTGATGAAAGGAAGCATGGCCCCTCGTCAGCATTTTCATCCTGTGTATATCGTATGTATGTAACATGTTTTTCCTCATTCAAGCAATAAATCTAGTAATAATTCATTTTCTTTTATAAGTATACGAGAATAATTTCACCACATAAACAATAAAAAACAATATCCAAAACATGTCATTCGATAGAACAACTATTAATATATTTAACAAATTACTCTGTAGTTAATGAGTGATAGTTATAAATATGTTAATAATTCAATACTTACTTGTACAATAATATAACTATACGACATACACATACCTGTCACTTAAAAATATTGCGTATCACATTAAAATATATTGGTCTACGTTGATCTTTACTAGTCAATCTCTATAATATAAAGAAACACCTTTATAAGACTAAAAGTACAGGGTGATTTACCAAATTTTGTTGAAACACTATTAATCTATCCATTTAATCACCATGTAATCAATAAATTGGATAGTTCTACATAATATGTTAATATTATAAAAAAATACACAAAAGTATCTGAAAAACCTATCAGAAAAAAGCTATAATTTTGAAAAATGTCTTCTATAGGATAATTGATACGCCAGTGAATAAAATATATCTACTTTTAACGGACTAATCAAAAAGTATAGGGTGCTTAAAAAATTGTTTTTTTGACACATTCGTTAAATTAACTATCAATATATTTATCAAATCACCCTGTAGACAATGAATTGGATAATTATACATACGGTAAGTACACAAAAGTCCCGTAAACATACTGTGTTTTACATTAATACTTATAAAAAAATATATTGGCCCATGTCGATATTTACGAATCACCCTGTATAAATGGCACTTAATATCTTTTGTAATATTATCAGACATGATAAATAAAGCAATAATGTATTTTTTAGGAAATATTTTTACCTTTTAAGAACAACAAAAGTAATTATCAAAAACACGTCCTTACTTATTTGTAGCTCACTCTGTAAAAGAAAATAATTTGTTACCCCTTGTTATATCTGTAGAATGCGAAAAGATGTTATAATAAGATTTGGCATAAAAAATTATAATCGAGTAGCTTTCTCCTGAAGTAACCGTTACCAAATAAGTGGTATTTCTTAAGTTTAACACCCTGTATCTCAAAAACTAGTCATAGTATTTGAATGGTCCTACGGACACTATTTCTTAGGAGGTCGAGAACTGCAACATATCAAAAATTTATGACATTTAACAGGTCGCCACTTTTCCATAAGCGGTGTGCGGGGTCCTTTAGTTATTTTATCTTAAGAGCAAAGCGAACACCTTGGAAATTTATAATTTCTTCTGAGCCTTTATTTTTGTTCCGATTTTTGATCTATATAACACCTGTATGTGTTGCTTTTCTGAAGATGTGAATTATCTCATGAACGATGCAACACTGCACGAGTTTACAGACAAATTGTACATCCATGCAGTGTTGTATCCTTCATGAGATAATCCACTATCTCTAGATTTGTTATTTTCTATATCTAAGGTAAATTTGATACTAATATGTATGTTATTGATGAAATTTGTTTAACTTATGTAGTATATCACTCCATAATATCGATATATTATCTACATATCTGTGATAGAATTTAATTATCAATTGCTTTTGCCTTGATAAGATTAAAAAATTTAGATACGTTATAGCTAATAAATAATGGGTCAATTTGTAATTTACAGTCCTATGAGAAATATTCACGTACTAACCTGTTATGCAGCTACAAGCGATAGCTATAGATAGTGCTAAAGTGGTACCAGACGTTTCATTTCCTAGAGATGCCATAAAATCTCCAAAAATTAGACCAAAAGTACTAAATGGTATGACTGCAGTCAACTGAAAAAAATGTAGATGAAATTTTCTTTAAAAAAATTAATTGCATCTATTTCCAGAAGGTAGAAGCGTTATGGAAGAAAAGAAGTTAAAAATCCAACAAAACGTAAAGAAAAGAAAAATAGTAAAAAATATTCAGTAACCCAAGACAAAATAACTCTGTCTTTATATTATGAAAACAAAAAGTTATCACAAAACTCAATAATGTTCAAAATTATATCAATTTGATCAGAAAGTTCAGTAGCCTACCCCAAAAATTTTCTTTTCAATTACATGATTTTGAAACCACCAAAAAATCTACAATATAGACGGAAAATCTCCCATTGCGGTACCTGTAAAAGATTTTCAGAAATAATTTTGTACAATATGAAATCCTCGCCATTGTTATCGATGACTATAAAAAAATGCGGTGGAAAAACTTAATTAAATTAACTTATTTAGGGGCCTTAAAACTGTGAGCCCCGATGTTAAATATCACTGACTCAGTATGTCATTATGATGTTTACGACAGAATGAAGAGTGTAGAAAGGAAAACTAAGTATATATCCCTACCGTATGCCTCTGGTAATAATGACAATCCATGTTCTAGAATAATTTCAACATGCATAAACTTTTTGCCAAGTATGAATGAAAAATATTGGAGCAGGGATCCTGGGAGGGAGCCTGGAACCTCCGGGTTGTAGCCGTCCATGCTCTTACCATTTGAGATATCGAGGCAAAATAACTTTTTCGGAAAACAAGTATTAAACGTAATTTTAAAAATCGACTTCAAAATCTTGTAGATGATATCAGCATATAAATTGAGTTTAAAATCTTGTAGATGACATCACCATATCTTAACCACCCCTGAGGTACCCCATTACTAACAAAAAAGTACATAAAAAATTAAGAGTTTGAGGATTTTTTCATGGACCCAATTATTAGGTTATGTAAATGGTAGAGTTATCTGTTTGAGTAAATTAACAACAAGGTATATAACAAATATTTTTAAAGACCTATAAATTTGACTATTAGGTATACCGACATTAAATTCATCATTGACTTCTTGGAAATTTTTGATGTCAAGGTGAAAGTTAAAGACAAGTGGAGAGAAAGGTTTCAGCTTAGATAACAGAAAGTAATCGTAGGGTTCAAAATCTATAAATGTGACTATAATTGTATTAAAACTATAAATGGGATAAATTCTTAGATTATAATATAAACCTATAATCTAAAGGTTATTCGGTATTTTATCATCTTCTTGGAGATTACTAATGCCATGGAAAAACCAAAATAATAACAAGGGGTGGGATTATAAGATGGTTACCTACCTAGGATTTGGTATTAAGATAAAATAGACAGTTGCAGTAACTATCTTGATCAGTTCCCAATATTACCTACCCTGATTAGTTTTCTATATTATACCGGGTGTTCTAAATTAAAGCGTTACAGCAATATACCGCTTTTAATAAAAAAAAAAACGTTTAAGACGAAAGTTTTATAGTTTTGTAGGGAAAAACTTTTGGCTAAAATCGTTTTTCATAGCTATGGCCATAATATGGCCAACTTTTTTTTCGCGCAGCAACATTTTCAAGTAGTTGTTACTCAAAAAGTAAAAGTCCAATAAAAAAAATATTTCCCTTAAAAGTTTCTTATTTTTTTATGTACTTTAAGAATATGTAAGAAAAATATGGGATTCCCATTTAAAAAAAAACAAAGTTCACCTCGATATAGCCATATTATGGTCAGCTATAAAAAAATGAATTAAGCCAAAATGTTTCCCCCAAAAAACTATAAAACTTTTGTCTGAAACTTTTTTTTCTAAAATGCATATTTTCGGCGGTATTTAACTGTAACACTTTAATTTGAACACCCGGTATAGTAAATTAAATAGTAAGAAGTTGTGGTTATTGTCGGTTAATAGTGACAGTAGTATTGAAAAATGCAGTGTGGTTCAAGTTCAAAGTTTACACCTGTGAAACGTATAAAAAAGTGTGCGTTGTCAGTTAAAGAGAAAATATTTGTAAGCAATGTTTATAATTTCCTAAGAAAGGAAAATCCTTCGTTTTCTGTTGACGATACTGTAGAAAAAACAAGTAATATGATGGGTGTAAGCAAATCAACGACATTTAAAGTTATAAGTGAATTAAAAAAGAGGTAAGGAAAAAGAGGTATTTACTGATTAACCATTTAAAAGCGGAATAAGAAGAAAAGTTCACGAATTTTATTTTAAAAAAGAGATACCAAAAATAAGAAAGACAAAACTACGGGAAACTTCACACATTACGAAGTTTACGTAATGTTTCAGAGAAAATATAGTTCCTAATTTAATATTAATTTCTACGCATTGTAAACTGAAAAATATTTATTTTTAAATCTCAAAGTGTAGGGAAGCGGTGTTACCCTTTTTTAAGGTAACTTTGGAAAAACATTTTTTTTTGTTATTTCCAAAAGCAAACAATCAAATTTCACCATAAAACAGAAAGCTATAGTCATTCTGACGTAAAAAAAATAAGAAATGTTTTTTTTAAATGAATCTTTCTCGATAATTTGTTCAATAGTAAAAAATACGTAGAAAGTGGGTCAATTTTACCTCATTTGACGGTACTTGAAGTATTTGCTACTAAGACATTTCCTAAAAGGCATGATACAGACGAGATCACCAAAGAAAAAGGACATGAAGTTTTAAGGCTACCTCCATATTTTTACGTTTTTAATCCTATTGAACTGATTCGGGTCCTAAAAAAGAGAATAAATATGCTGAACAAACGTAAATTCCAAATTCGATTTTAAGGTAATAGAACTAAGAACTAATAAAACAAGAGGTGGCAAATATTTGGGCAGTGGATAGGCAAAAAAAAGTAAGAAAGTTATTACGTATAAAGAAGAGTACAGTATTAATATTGGTAAAAAGTTAATAGATTTAAATTAAGAAACGAGCGAAGACGACAAGAAAAGTGAAGAAGAAGAGACAGATAAACAACCAGGATTTGGTGGAAATATCTAACAAAAATATTAACATTTAAAAAAGTTTGCTCCCTGATGTGTATTTATATATTTCCTATTAGAAATTATAAAATGCGCATCCTTATTAATCTAACTTAGTTCCGTAGATGATCTCATTTTACTGTTTAATGTTGAAAATATTAATTATCATTGTTTGCTAAATGTTTCTTTCCGTATAAAGATTAAGGGTATAATTTATAGATTATTTAATTTTGTTATACTGAAATTTACGAAATATGATATAAATAATCAAAAAACTATCTATTTCGTAGAATTATTATGATTAACAACTTATCTTTCCGAATTTAATAATCATTTTTGTCATTGATGACGTACATCGTATATTTCCTTTCGACAATAAGTTTTTAATGAATTATTGAAACTTAGATTATAATCATTGCTACGTATTTGGGCCAGTACCATTTTGGAACATTAGAATCTAGGAACACAAATATTGAAAAAAGAACTAATTAAAAAAGAATGAAGAATATTATAAACCAAGAAATGTATAGTTTACCAAATGACAAATTTTTAATTGTTAACAGTAAGACAATTTGTGAATAACATTTGAATAACAAAATAGATAATTATGATACAAATATATTAGTTAATGCCAAAAAAATGGTTACATGGTTTTGCTTACGTGAACTATAAAGACCGACACCATGACAAGATATCCCCAGCCTCCTTCTGGAACTTGTTCGCAATTTTTTTCCATTTCACTAATTAACACAATAGAGACTTTCAAAAACAGTTTGATTTCACTTTCAGAACTATACCTACCTGTATTCTAAATAGTAACCTAAATTAACTTATTCAATATTTATTTCTATTATAGGATTGTTGGCTAACATGTTTCAACTATGTTTAATTTGTATTATTTTAAATCTTTAGTAAACTGAAGTAAGAAGACAGGTGAACAAATAAATTTTATCATTGTTTGCATTATATTTTTCATATAAAAATTAAAGGAAATTTATAATATCCCTAATGGAAAATAAATAATTTATAAGGGTTCATTGTCGTATTTATTAACAACATTGTTCATAAACATGTTTGCAATGCAATAATAAAAACAATAACATTTTAGACCCCTTTGGGTTAGGAGGCCTTCTTATCTTATCTTTGCTGTCTTTGAGGTCAAGACTAAATAGAAAAATATAGTTTGATCAATTTATTTTTAGTTTATTTATTTATTTACAATTTATTTATAACGTACTAATTAATTTATATAATACTTAGGCACTATTATAACTCACAATTATAATTTGTTTATTACAATTTGTCTTTACGATCAAAAACTGCCTTTCTATGACTCATACGACGCAAAGGGATCAATCTGGTAGTTTCTCGAAGCGGTACGTTTGTCTTTATATGACCAGCGCTAGACTTCATACCGCGGACAAGGAATAGAGACGGCTTTCGCATCACATTGCCTTCTCCTTAAGAAATAGTTCCTCCTGCAACTAAAACTGAATGACTGTGTCTGCAACTGAACCTACTTTTACAATTTCCATTTATACGGAAGTAACAAGGGACTGTTTTTGCTGAAACCTGGACACTAGGCGAATGGCTGAAGACCAGTATTTGGATCTAGAAATCTTGGAAGGTTACTTTCAGCATGTTTCTAATGATCCTCCAATTTAGGTGGTTGCTCTCTATCCTTAGCATGGCTAGTTTCTGTACATTGGACTCCAGTACATGCTCCCTCAAACTATGCAATGCATCCCATACATCATAATCAGTGAATCAATCGCGGAAGGTGTTCTTTGTTACCAGATAGAAAAGGTAACGCGATATATCTTGAAGTTTCATTGCTTTTTCAGGGGCTGGTAACTGATCTTGAAGTTGTATGGACCGGCGAGTAGTCTTTAGGAAACGTGAGCAGATCTTGTTGTTGCTCGGTTGTGACACCATATCTAGCTTTTCCGGTACCTCCATATGCACCCATAAATTCTTCAAAAACAAGGTCAGGTGATTCTTAGAGCTGTTTCACTTCTTTTTCCTCGTCATGGTTAGCCTCAAAAGGCGCCAGCTGGTTTTGGTGAACTACTTTCGGTTTACCGTTCTGGATCTTACTTATACGGTAGATGACATCATTGATTTTTTCTTGATGAGATACGGACCTTCCCAACACCTTTGAAGCTTCGGAGAATAACCCTTCTGTCTTTTTGGGTTATAAAGCCAGACTTTGTCGCCTTCCTTTGAAACATCCTTCTGTGACTCGGGTATCGAATCACTTCTTCAGTATGTCGCTGGCGATATGAAGATGCGAACGAACTAACTTGTGCATGTCGTCCATTTTTCGTCGTAGTTGGATCACATAATCTTTACCGGCTATATCTCATTTCACGCCCGAACAACACCTTTGTGTTTAGCCTGTAGATTCATTGATAGCGGATCTATATGCCATTGCGAAGAGCGAAAGATACTCATCCCAATCTCGCTGATGGTTGGAAACTACTTATTTGCTAATGGTCTTATTCATTCGCTCTACCATTCCATCTGACTGTGGGTGCAATGCCGTAGTTTTGGTTCTCTTCATGCCTTTCTTCATGGTCACTGTGGATCTCCAAAGGCACTCCAAATCTGCTGATAAATTCTTTTATTAACACGTCTGCAACAGTTATAGCCTCTTTATTTGCAATGGCGTAGACTTTCACCCACTTCATGAAATGATCCATAACCACCATTATGTATTTATTACCATTCTCGGTCATGGGGAATAGTCCAGCAATATCTAAGGTAATTCTCTCAAATGGGCTACCGATGTTGTACTGCTTTATGGGGGTGTTCCTTTTTCGTTGGGGTCCGTTACTCATAGTACAGGTGGTACATTTCATACACCACTCCCTTACATCATCGGAACTGTTCATCCAATAAAACCTTTTACGAACTCTCTGAAGAATTTTCTTAACACCGAGATGTCCTCCTGATGGACTGTCTTGTAACTGACGAAGTACTTCGGCTACTCTAGGAATAACTCGCTATCTTCTGTTTTCGGAACCATCATTATTCTCTAGTACTCGCTTTAATAAGCTTTCTTCTAGAATAGAAGAGTCCTACTGAGCCTACTTAACTACTGGAGAGAGTTTCAATACTTTTTGCCAAGTTGGTCGACGATTTTCCTCTTTCCATTGTCGAATCTTCTTGAAAACAGGATCGTTCTCTTGTTCTTTCCTAAGTTTGCCAGGAGCCCACTCATCGTTGACTACAGTTGTTCTTAGTAGTCCACTTTATTTGGATACTACTCTGTTGCAGTGAGAGCATTCTGCTGGGCACGATCTTCTAGAAAGAGAATCGACATTTCTGTGGCTTACTCCGGTTCTATGTTCAATCTTAAAGTCGTGCTCTTAAAGTCGTTCAATCCATCTGGCGATTTAACCCTCTGGATTTTTGAAATTCATCAACCACTTAAAAGCTGCATGATCGGTACGAATTAAAAAGTTTCTTCCATATAGGTATTGGTAGAAGTGCTCCACGCATTTCACAACTACCAGGAGTTCTCTTCTCGTGACGCAGTAATTCCGCTCAGGTTTCGAGAGCACTTTACTAAAATAAACCAGTACCCTTTCTTTCCCTACTTAAATCTGTGAAAGCACTCCTCCAATTCACACATTACTGGCGTCAGTATCCAGAATAAATTCTTCTTCTGGTAGTGGGTAGCCTAGTATTGGCACCGTTGTTAAATGTTTCTTTAGTGTTTTAAAGGCAGTTTGGCAGTACGTACAAAGTCCGAGAAAACTTCTTATTTTGATGTTCGATGGAAGCGACTTTCTCCTTATCTACAGCCACGCCATCCTTGCTGACTTGCTGACTATATGACCCAGGTAATTAACTTTATTTCTTGGGGTTTAGCATCGATTGGGCGGCTTGGAGTCCTTTAAAAGCATCTTCTAAGTTCTTTAAATGTTTATCAAAGGTCTTCCCAAGACAATGATGTCGTCTAAATACACCAGGCATTTTTTCCAGGATAACCATCTCAATACATTTTCCATAAGTCTTTCAAATGTCGCGAGGGCATTACGTAGTCGAAATGGCATGACATTGAATTGCCACAATTCAGATCCGGTGGTAAAAGCTGTCTTTTCTTTATCTACTGGGTCCATTTCCACCTGTTACCATCCAGACTTCAAGTCTAAGGTAGAGAATAGTTTACTTCTGGAAAATGTGTCCAAGGTATCGTCGATTCGAGGCAGAGGGTAACTGTCTTTCTTGGTAACATTGTTCAACTGAAGGTAATCCACACAGAACCTCGTAGTTCCATCCTTTTTCTGAACCAGGACTACCGGTGAGACCCATGGGCTGGTAGAAGGTTCTACCAGCCTGTCTTTCTTCGTTTCCTGAACAATCCTTTGAGCTTCCTCTTTCTTGGCCTTTGGTGATCTTCGAGCTGATTGACGATTCGGCCTGGCGTCACCAGTGCCAATTTTCAGTTTAACAACAGAAGTTCTTCCTGTTTTTCCTCCTTTTGGTACAAAAATGTCACGATATCGTCGAAGAAATTCCTTTATTTTATTTTTCTCTAATTGATTCAGAGATTTACCAGCAACTGCAATCATTTGCTCGAATTTGTCGTTGGAATTATCAGAAGTTGTTATCTGGCGAATTATGGAAGTTACTGGTACACAAGTTCGGATTCTGCTCTCTTTCTTGTTGGTAATTGAGTGATCATTAACGTTTATAAGACGAACTGGAATCTCTTTAGCAGACGTGACCAACTCCTTTCCGATCAGAATTCCTCGTTTAACCTCTTCATCGTGGTTCCAAGGTTCCATCATTACAGGTGTTCCTTCTTCCATAGTTTCTTGAAGCCGTGCTACTATAATGGTTTCACTTCTACCAGGTACCACCGTATCTTCCTGTACAGCAACTGGCACGGTACTGTCCTGGTACTGTCCCCATATGGATGCAGGAATTCCTATTTGGTACCAACTTTGATATCTCCGTTCTTAAAGTTTAAAGTTACGTACTTTATTTAGGTAATTATAAATAATAGTTGTGTACCTAAGTTAATTTATCTCATAAAACTTATATACCTTACTTATTTTGTTTTAGCATGAAATTAATTTTCCCAGATTTATTACTTTATTTGATTCCAAAGATTAGTTTTGTTCTAAAGACGTTATTCATAAGTGGTTGTCACTTTCTCCAGATTTATTCTTATCTGACTAGATATTTACCTATGTTTTTGATTGTTTTAATTTGTAAGAAATGAGATAATCTATTTATAGATATTAATTCATATTTTGTTTGCAGATTTTGGAATAGTGATTTTCTAAAACCAGTTAGTTTTCCCTGCAAAATACCAAATTCAAAGACAACAGCATGTCATCTTCAATTTGCATAGTTGTGATAGCAGCTGGTGAGGAATATTTGCTGATAAATACGACTTAACCTGAACAACAGGGTCAAACAACGTTTGGTCAACTACAAGAGCTGGTGACTTAGCAGTTCCTGATGCTCAGAAATGTTATGAGACAACAACAGGGACTAAACAAAATTTTATTAAAGTTTATGCATCCACATCAAAATTAAGTAGCTGCCCCCTTAGCTCTGATGGTCGTTTCGACTTCCAAAACTGTTGCGAAGTTGTGATAGCAGCTGGTGAAGAAAATTTTCTGATAAATACGAGTTACAAGGATTGTGAGTCTCTGCCTGAACAACAAAGTCAAACAAAAGCTTGGTCAACTACAAGAGCTGGTGACTCAGCAATTCATAATGCCCAGAAATGTTATGAGACAACAACAGGGACTAAACGAAATTTTATTAAAGTTTATGCATCCACATCGAAATTCAGTGGCTGTCCTCTTTAGCTCTGATGGTCGTTTCGACTTTAAAAACTGTACCAGGGAACGTCAGTGTAGATGGATATCTAACCTAAGAATTCTTCTGCGGAGTTATTGAGAAATACCGGTGAGAACGTTTCTATTGGTCAGTGTTTACTTTTTAATGTCAGTCGATTTTTTTGTCCGTTTGTTTTTGGTAATTTGCTTTCTTTTCTGGTGTCCATTATGTTTTTTTCGTTTTTATCTCGGTCGAATTATTTGTCCGTGTGCTG